TACGCGGTTATAAAATAGGAAACTAGGGCTAGGGAAGGCCCGACAGGGCAGGAGGTAAACAAGGAAACTCACCGGCGTGCTGCCACATGTGCTGTCCGTCGTTCGTCTCGACCTTCGTGGTGCAGGCCGCAGTCTCCACTTGTCACAGCTAGGATGCCGATGAGCCGTTTCTGGTTCACGAACACAACACAGGGGGGTGAGAGGCCGAGAATAACGTAAACTAGGTTAGGAGACGACAGTTCCACACAGTTTCGCGATTGACACTCCGCAGTCTTGGCCTACTTCTTCTACACACCGCGAAAGACACAGATTGAAACACAACAACACGACAAACTAAATCATGACGCGACCACTCGCGACACAACCAGACGAGTGCAGACGAGAGACGGAGCGAGCGGTAGCGGCACGACGCGCATTGACTGACTCACGAACGGCAGGGCTGGCGACGACTGACAACACGCTGCGGCGGCTGCGACACACCAACACCCAGCGGACGAACAACGAAAAAGACAGTTGAGCTCGCCAAGCGCCTGACGTCAGTAATCACAAGTTTGCAGTCAGAATAGCATGTTTTGTTTGTTTAAATTTTATCCGGATTGTCATGTGCTGCTGTTGCTGCTGCACCCTCAAGATAAAGTGTCAAAACGTTTGCAACTGGCGAGTGAGTGCGATCGCCGAATCTGTTGGTCCTGATTTTGAGGTTACTGATTTTTTAAAACGTTGGAATTTTGCGTTTTGTTTCAGAACGAAAGTTTTGATACATTCATTCAGTTTGAAGCCACTTCGTCTATGACAGTCTGGACCACAAACAGGAATTATGTTCTTTCAAGGTAATAAGGTTATGAATGGACCGCTGTTGTTTAGCGAATGTGAGTTGAAGACCATTTCTAATAACAGTTTAACCCTACAACTAAATGTGATTGTCCGTCACGTAGGTTCAGTGCTGGCAATATATGAACAGTGACCTTATTAACGTGATTGTGATGTTTACAACAGACCTACTGAACTTTTCCATTTAAATGTTTTTGAATTACGTTGAAACTGAAAAACACAAAAGAAATGCTTTAAAACAGAATAATTTTACACTACAAGCTAAAGTGAACGTAACGTACCAGGTTTGTTCATTCAATGCACAATAAGATTCGTCGTATCACTGTGGATCTTCCGGGTTATTGTTTCTCCTGTCCGTTCCAATAAAGCATTCCGGTAAAGCTGAAATGCAGAAAAATGCGGGGAAGAAGAAAACGGAAGTCCCATGTAAAAGCATAGTGATTTCCGTTTTCTTCTTCCTCGCATTCTTCTGCATTTTAGCCTTACCGGAATGCCTTGTCAGTTAGTAACCCATCGACTTGAAAGTACATATGATTCTTAGTTAATTTCAGACCATACATATGAGATTTGTGTGATCTTTCAGTAATCTGAATGATTTTTTAGGTACTACAAAAGATAGAAATCATTGGGCACTATACGAAAAGCTTGGATACCTATGAATTGTAGCATCAATTAACTCTCACCCACCCCTCCTCCTGGAAATGTACACTTTTATGTCCCCCAAAGGTTTTTTTGCAGTCTTGTCCTCCTGTAGTCAAGAATATTCTCACATCATGAGAAACAAGCGTGTGGAGGAGTGTGTCTGCCGGCGGGCCCCGCGGGCCCCTCCTACCCTTGGGGACTCCCGCGGTGTTGTTTCAGCCCCGGACTAAAAGCAGAGATCCCTGTCTCCTCGTCATTGTCAGGTGAAATATGTATGCATCGCTTCGAAAATAGCGGCGCGCGGGCGCGGCTGCGGCCGCCGCTGTGTCGCTCGCCGCGCACAATGCGAGCCGGTCCTCCTTTTGCTCGGTGTCGTCGCGCCGCCCGCGCTGCCTGGCCGTTGATAGGCAGGTGGCGCGGCGGGGGCGGCGGGGGCGGCGGGGGCGGCGCGGCGCCCGCAGTCGATCTGATCGGGAACGACATAACAAATGGAAATGCTGTGCGGAGTGAAGGGCGGCGAGGCTATTGGTTGTGCCGGCCAGAGTGTGCGCCGAGCTCAGCGCGCTTGTTTGTGCCGCGTTGTGGTTGTGCTTGGTTGTGCTGGAGGCTCACAGGTCGGTGCTCACTCCCGTGCGCCCTCCTCCGCACGCGTCCCGTGCTCCGCGGGTGTCCCCGCTCCCGGGGCGCAGCCGGCAGGTGGCGGTGCTCCGCGCCCCCCGGCCTCCTCCCGGAGCCTACGCCTGCCGTCAGCCCGCGGCGTACTTCCGGCGCCCGGATGTATTTCCGCTTCTTCCCCAACGCAGCGCGGCCCGATGGCTGCTTTGCCGCCAGCCTTCTCAATAAAATCGATCCCCTTCGCCAAGGACCGTCGACCTTCCCCCTTTCCCGTCCCCTCCCCCCTCCCTCAACCCCGCCCCCCTGCCCTGCTTATCTGCCCCATCTCTTTCTGTCGTGTTTTTGAAGGTCTTGGAACTGTTGTTGTTAAATCTAGAAATAGCGCGCATAAGAAGTCGTTCGCCCCATCCCTGCTCCACTCCACGACGTAACCGTCGCTGAGCTCACGACGATACGCACCGCGCCTCGCGAGCCGCCGATAAATAGTCGCTCTGCCGTTCTCATTTCCTCCCCGCCCCGCGAGCCCGCGCGTGTTTCGGTGTCTGATTAATCGATTATGCCGCCTAAAGTTTGAGAGATGGTGTCGGGCACCAGGGCGGGTCGCGGGGGG